TATATATATATATATATACATGACTTTCTAACTATTAATATTGTTGAATTTAATGGAAATTGGCACTTTTAGTACCCTATGCTATGCAAACGTGAAAATTTCCACATAAGTGTTGTCATATGACATTCATATATATACATGAGTTTCTAACTATTAATATTGTTGAATTTTAATGTTACACCTATCAAATTATGTTTCAAAATACAACTAGGATACATTTAAATTAGAATTTGGGTATAACAAATAGTAGTGGTTAGAAGCTCTAAAATTAACATGTGAGAGCATCTCCAACAGCTTCCCCATCTTCTTGAAATACTCAAATTTGGAGAATATAGAGCTTTTTTTCTTCTTGAAATACTCAAATTTGGAGAATATAGAGCTTTTTTTTGGTCCAACAGATTCCCCATCTCATTCCCCAAAATAGGGAAGGAGGAGAAAAAATAGGGAGCCTTCCCCAAATCTGCAGCATTCTCCAAATTTTTTGGGGAGAGCTTTATTATTGTAATAAATGCGATTTTTCAAAATGGGGAAGCTGTTGGAGTTGGAGCAAAATTAATTTGGAGAATATGACTTTTGTTTCTCTATTTTGGAGAAAATTTTGGGGAAGCTGTTGGAGATGCTCTGAATGATACACAGAACAGTAGGGTGAAATTTTTCATATTTGCATAACATAGAATACTAGCATGTCAACCCTATACAACCTAAAGATACATAAGTGCTACAAAAATAACAGAGAAAGTATAAGTGCAAAGCGATTGAAACTATAAGATATTTAAGTGTTGTTTAACTGAAAAAAAATAAATATGAATAAGAATATTGGTTGGTTGGTCCAGTTAGTTGGTCCTTGGGAATGCCTGTTATGCAAACGAACGACATTGGCATAATTAGCATTAATTGCTATGTTGAAACCTTAATTACACCACTATATAATTACATTAATTATTACTTAATACCTTTCAACCACCATTAAATGCAACTGACCACGCTCCCATATCCACAAATAATTAGCATTAATTGCTATGTTGAAACCTTAATTACACCACGAGGTTTGGACCCTTTTTTGCAGTCTAGATCCAATTAAATAGATAAGTTTTATAATGCTTAATAATTATAAATTAGAGATAAATAATGTCATAGACACGGATTGACCTTGACATTTTTAGCAAGTATCCCAAATTCCAATAACTAGGCCACTTATGGAGGGTTAGTTTTGACACTTTTGATTATATTATTGGAGCATCGAATAAATAGTTAAATTTTTTTCATTTTGTTCATTGATAAAATAAATGTCTTGAACGATTTGTTTGACGAAAATTCCTTCTAGTGTCATTAGTATAATTGGACGCTTCTTTCCACCTTAAGGCTATATTTGGCAACTCTCAAATAATACCGAGTCAATATTAGTTTGTACTTTTGGCATAGTTTTTGCCTAACAAGAATCATATCGAAACAATCTCTATAGAAATGCGATGGTTTATATCATTGATAAAAGGGGGGGAAAAAAGTCCAAACTAACCTCCAACCACATATGAATGCTATATATTACCCCGTTCTATGTGAACGTTGGAATAAAATCTGCGCTCATTTTTGCTAAATTAGATAT